TCTTCCAGTCTCCATGCTGGGCAACACTGAGCTTTGTCTTCCTCCCAAATTCCCATGATCACCAGTGACACTGAGAATAAAATATATTCGTTAGGCCTACCAGCAACATCTGAATCTCAGCACTAGCAAAGGATTGGAAAGAATCAGGAAAAGTCATATACTCCTGACTTACACCCCTAGGTCAGAATCAAATGCACTGCATATATAGAAGAAAAATGTTTTGTTCTTATTTCAATTTACTTCTAAATGTGTAATTCTTTCCCAAAATCTGGTGAGATTTTCTAAGTGGAAAACAATCTACAAAATGTGGCTGGGTAACAAATGTATCTTAAAACTTCTAAGAAAATTGATGTGTTGATACTGTAAATGGAAAACAGTAAAAACAGTTTAAAACTCTTTAAAACTATTCAAGTGCCAAATCTTGAATGCATTCCAGCAAGATCATCATGTTCTCAAGAATTTTAGGGAAAATCAGATAAAACTAAGAAAACTTAAAAAGAAAATAAAACTGGTTTTGCTTCCTATTTAAGCAGCTTTAAATCCTCTGTGAACAATGTTTAGGGTTCTTGTTCTCTGACAGGCAGTAGCACATCTTTTTTTTCCCAGGGCAGGAGCAAGCATCAGTAAAAAAGTTGGTTTATCTATTTACTATTTTGAAATATGAGCTTAAGGCAAGAGCTACTTAAGTGTGACATGATGCTCATAGTATCCGGTCATGATTAAAGCAAAAACAATAAGAAACTTCAACAAAATCTCTTTCTATTCTAAGAATAGCTTAAAGGCAGTCATGGGCTTTTACAGTGGCGCTCTGGCAGACCAGTCACTGCTGCTGCTGCTGACACTCTTGCAAGCTCACCTTCACTTCTGTTTGCACTGAGGCTGCTATGAAAGATCCCACTTCAGCTTCAAGAGCCCAGTGCCAGCAGCACAGGATGACTCTTTAGGGGGCTGGAGGGGTGGAGGGAATACACCTAAGGGTGCACGGCCCTAGTTGGGTCTTGGCTGAGTCTTGTGAAAGAAAGGCTTTTTACAGGTGTTGATTCCTTTTTGGGCAGTTTGAAGTAGGTTTGGGAGGGGGAAGGAGGAAGGGAGGGAAGGGGAATAACTGAAAGACTAAAACAAATATAAATGAACAGTGCTACCAAACAGGGCACGCACTTACAGCTCCTATCATCATTCCTTCCTCAGGGTAGGAAGGAAAAGTAATCCCTTTAGGCCTTTAATTGCCTCCCTCTGCAGTCTGTCCTGATCTGTCCTCTACCCTCCCTTACTAAAACAGCACCACAGCTCACTCCTAAGCATAACTGCTCTGTAATGGATGAAATTAACACCCCAAGTCTAAACCATACTCCAGTGTTGGGGGCTTGAAAACCACATTTTTACTGAAAGTCTAGATCAGTCTTAGATGTGGCATGTAAAGGAGAGAGACCAAGAGATAGAGACAGAAACAGATAAGCAGAGACAGAGACTAAGCCTGCACTTGCACATACAGGTACAGACTGACCTGAGCTCAGAGCAGATCAGCAGTGAACTAGCCATTGGTCTCATGAGAAAGTTGGGCTATTATTTAAAGCAATTTCTCCATCCATGGCTGCACAAACCCAAATCAGAGCTGTCCAGCTCAGCACGTAGAGAGAACTGATCAGTGCCGGTGTACTTCTGTATAGGCAGAGTCAGGACAGAAGAGAAAGGAAGCATGTGCTAAGTGGCAAAATGGGACTGAAAATGCACTTCTGATCCTTTGGACCAACAGCACATTCTGCAAAACAGTAACCTCTTCTCTGTATCAATATTTTATCAGCACTTCACTATTGCCACTGTTGTCTTTGTCACTTCTCTCATAGTAAATTAACAGTGATTGGAAGTACAGCTTCAGAAAATTTCTTCACAGACTCCAAGTACCTGTGAAACTAAGTTGGCCTTGGATTAGTCAGAAATACAAAACTCAGCTGCCGTTAGCAAACCCTTAAAGGAAATCCTGGTGTAAGTTTTGAGTGAGCTTGGTCCTGTTTAGAGAGTTTCATCAAAACCACATGAAACCATGTGACATTCAATGCTTTTCGCGGTGTTTTACTTTGAATGTTGAGTTCATTTAAAGCCTAAATTAAAAAGGAACCACAGCAGTTGGAGTCTGTACGAAATGACATTGACCGTAGCGGGCCCTCAAGTCAAAATGGGTGAGTCCCATACTCAGCCATGCTCAGTAACTCTGCTGATTCATTTTGCATGCGAACAATTGAAAGCCACCATGGTGCTTTCACTGTCAGGAACTGGGAAGAAGTCGGATTTGGGTGTATTTTGCTAGGTACAGCCAGACCTGAATTCACTCCATCAGCACAAGAAACTAGAAATACAAGGCACGAACTAGCCCAGCCTAGCTGGGGGCTAGCTACATCAGCCTGGGGCCCCACCTAAGCTGACAAACCTGGATGAGACTCAGCTGGTTTGTACAAAATAAATGTGTCTACTACCCCAAGGCATTTCTTCATCTTTTCTTAGTGCACTTGCCCCTGGCAACAGGAAATGAGCTTCTGTATTTTCCTAGACAAGTCACAAAGACTCTCTTGTCTTAAACTATCTCTGTGAAATGAAAATAATCATATTTATCAAAGTGCTTTGATATCTGTGGATGAGCAGTGTTATATCACTGAAACGCATCATCAATTATTAGATTATAGAATAAACCTGCAGTGCTGCTAATTGTAACACTGTGTATATAATTAAGAGGGCTTTTAAAAGTCTGTTTACCCTTCAAATATATAGAGAACTTCTGTATATTATAGTTCATAGTTCATAAAATTTTTGCTATTTCATGTCTTGATATTGCTCTAAATTAATGTTTTGACAAAAAACAGTGCTCTTGCAGATTTTAGGCTCTTTCCACAATTGTATTCATCTTTGTATGTAAGGATTGTTGCCTTTCCTTTTCATTTTAGTCTCTCATTCAGAAACTTTCCAGCAGTTAAAGCAGTTGCCGTTTTCCTAAAAATCACCACACAACCATTTCCAGTGTCAGAAGCTGCCTCTGCTGAAAGACTTTGGGCCAGCCTTTGGCCCACGCTGCCCGCCCTGCTGGCACGAGGCCGCTGCAAGCTCCCTTCATGCAGTGATGCCACAGTTCCACCTCAGGACAGGACGCAGCAAGGAAAGCTCCACATCTCAGCCAACTGGCCGGGGACACACCTTCCTGGGGACACCAGGGAAGGCCCTGCTTCGGCCCTGTGGCTGTCCTGCATGGCTGCTGCCCTGCCTCGGTTTCTGGTGGGCCCGGGGGGACAGGGTCTGAGAGCACTGGGCCAGGCCCTCCACGGCCTGCTCGGCCTCCATCGGTCAGGCCCAGCCTCAGACCTGCAGGCCTGGTGGGTCCCGTAAACGAATTGTAGCAATGAATTGTAACAGGTCCTTTGACCTTTTTCTGGTATCCTCAGTGGGGAAAAAAAAAAAAAAGTTACTAATTTAGACTCCTCCTGCTTGCCCTTGGGCTCACTCCAGTTTGTGGGATTCCCTCCTGGCATGGGTGCGTCACTGACATGTGCGCATACTGACTTACACCACCGCCAGGCGCCATTTCTGGCCTTGACCCGGCAAAACACTTAGGCACAGGCTTCACTTTGAGACAGGATGTACGCTAGGCCCAAATCATGATTACTGCCCTAGGAACACAGGGAGCCAAGTGGTAAAAAGAAAAATGTGCGTTAAAAGTCAGGGCTCTGCAGTTTAACAGCACCACACTGCAGAACCTGGGCTCTGCGTTCGGGTTTTTCAATAGCTAAAAAAAAAAAATCATCCTGAACATAAAAGACCCAGCACTATGTGAGTCCCTGGGTGCTCTGAGGCAATGGTGGACCTCCATGAGAGGAAAGCCAGCTCTGTAAGGGGACGGTACGGATGTCAGAGCAGGTCCAGGGAGAAGCCCTGGGGTTCAGCCCATCCCTCTGCAGCTCAGCTGTGGCAGAGGGAGGGCTGGCACGTGAGGCACTGGGGACATTTGGCAAATCCTCCTGTGGTAGCCCCTTTCTCTTCCTGTTGTGGTCTGAATGAATAGCCATTCTGCTTAATTTAACCTATTTCTGCCTAAGTGCATACCCTGGCTATTTACCCTAAAGCTAGATCTGAGTAACATTCATATAACTGAAATTTTTCAGTATGTTCTAGCAGTACTGATTAATTTGTGATTTCTTGGCAAGACTTTTATTCCAAAAAAAATCTCTGGTATAATTACAGTTGTACATCATTAATGTGCTTTTTGCCATCATCATAACTTACTTTGCTCTCCCTGGAAATATGAATCCGCAAAAACATGTTTCGTGCTGCACAAAGAGGAATTACTGCAGTGGCTTCATCCACATAGATACAGGCAACTTAGAGAGTAGCCAAATTGCTACAAAGACTTCTAACATAATATAGTCTCTTCTATATACAGAATCCAGCTAGTAAACAGTTTAGGCTAGCATATCAGTAGAAGTCTGTTGCTGAAACCTGTATTGCATATTTTTCCAACATGGTAACAGATCAGTTCCCAATTACCATACTTTACATCACAGTCCTTAACACAGTACGTTCCTTAATGAACAGCATAAGTACAGTAGCTCAGTGCCAGATTCCACTAGCAGGCGCCACCCTAAATGGAATTAAAATGCCACAAATTAAAAGAAACTTTGGCAGAATTTAACAGTAAACACTGTTCCAGTAAGTGCTTCTCTTCTATTCTGTCATGTACATACATTGCTCATACAGCCTTTTCCTTAATCGAGACACAGAAATGTGACAACATTCAGTGTGGTAAATGGCTTCAAGATAGTACATATACAGGAAATTTTGTCGGCATTTCTTTCAAATTACATGTTTTCCTAACACAGTTTAATATTGTTTTTCCCAATACAAGTGTGTCTCAAGCTCCATCATGTCAGTTTATTGTCATCTACTGCTGCAGAACTCTGGTAAGGATAGTCAGAATAAAACAAGATGAATTTCTTTCCCCATCTAAATCTGAATAGGTTCTTCTTTGGAGAAGTGTTATTAACTTAAACGTTTCCTTTTACAGTACATTTTCTGATTGCAACCAAAACCAGAAGTGGAACTTCCAGAAAGAAAAATATATTCCAAAGAACTGTCTCTATGTCAAAGCACTTTGTGAATGAAATAATGCTTATTAGCTTTTTGAGATATCAAAGTATTACTATTCTCATTGCTGGACCTAAGGTGACATAGTCATCTGTGAACAAGCCAGCAATTCAATTCACATCCTCAGACTCCTCTTGATCATAAGGCTTTCTTCTTCAAGAAAATTTTTGCCTACTTTTGAAGACCACAAATATTCCACAGAAGATAAAGATCAACACATTAGATGCTTACTAAATCTTATTCTAAGGGGAAAAAACTGAAGTATGCATATTTTTTATTTTTATATATAACAAAATTAATTGAGGAAGCATTAGAGCATTCGTACTGACAGAATATATAGTACATTTATAACCATCAAAGTAATCTACTGTAATTTTTATTTTCAGATCATCAAGACAGCCTGGAATGTCATCTTATACAGGTAAAATAAATATAAAGAATACACCAAAATGTAGCTTTTTTTTCTAAAGGAGGCAGTAACTCCTCTGACAAATCATGCTTGCCCTACACTGTCTTATGTATGATTGGGCAGTTCAAAAACCTTAAAAATCTTATTTTGTTTCCTATGAGGGAACACCTATATTGGCATGTTCATAAAATAAAATGACTATGCATACAATAAGCATTTCACAAGATTTTTTTTATGAACAATATTGGACTTTCTAGTGAATAAAATTTCACTTCTATCCCACCAGGCAGGCAACTGGTGGTGTAAAGCACAAGATATTTTTGTTATGGGGAAAAAGATTAATAACAACTAGAGCTCTGTCTCTTGTCTTTGTTTGTGCAAAAATCCCCTTCCCAAGGAGGGGTATAATTTCATGAATTATTATCATTATGGCCACATTGTTCTCCTAGGTAGCACTAGCCTGAGACATGCTTTTTATGAGTGGGGGAGATTTACTTTTGTTGAGCAGTCCATTGCCAGTTAGCGCCTCTTGTGTTGTTTTTTAGTTGTATTTGTAATTTTTTAAAACAATGTGCTTCTTTTAGCTCTGATTCTCATTCCCTGCCAATACTACAGCAGTTTTAGAAACGTTTCATGGCATCCTGTGCTTTCCCTGGGATTATCTATAAAGGCAATGGTAAAGTTTTGTCACTAGGTGGAGCTTGAAGCTTCAGTCCTCAAATGCTCATCAGCTTAATTTCCTGTCACTTTAGCAGGGAGTTCCTCAACCTTTCCAATCTTGTAGCTAGGCAACTTCTAAACCATTTGAGGTAAATTTGGTTGTATAATCTGTTGTATGTTATAACTCCTATTAGAAGCGGTTTTTTACATACTGAGTCATGTTTGCTCTGACTGAAGTTGGATAATGATCAAAGGGAAAAGAATAAAGACTTTCCACATGTGGGCTTGCAATGTAACTCGTGTAGTAAATTGCTCCATGTTTGGCTCTTCTAATGCTGTACCAGTAAAGCAGGCTGATTGCAAAGTAAATATGGAAGTGCTGGTAAGAGAATGCTATTTTATATTGTTGTCGGGCTGTGGTCATTAATCACCTGAATCAGTACTCTCATATGCTGGTAGACTGATAGATATTATAGCTATGCATCAACACCCAGTGGCACACAGCTGGGGCTTCATCAAGTCAACACAAACAGTCCTTATGTCCTAATACATTCAATGTGGAGTAAAAAAAAAATTTCCTTTATGCTGCAAGCTGTGCCAGTTCAGAAAGCTCCTGGAAATATGCAGCCTCACATATGGTAGCGTGACATTTACTCTTCCGGTGCTGCATGGAGTGGAGGAGGAGCTGCCTCATGCTAGCAGACAGCTCTGTTGTGGTAATAACTTGACCTCACTAGGGAATCAGGAAATCTCCCCTGATTATTGCAAGACTCAATAGGGCACACACATCTTACCTAGCAGGAAACCTCTTTCCCGTGCTCTGTTTAAACACAGTATGAGCTTCACTGCATGAAAAATGTGGCATATTGAACCTTGAACTAAAGCTTGGCCAGAAAGACCTAATGAGAGCTCTTAATTTGTGCCTCTTACAGGTAGGTTAAGTTTTCTACCCTTTTAATATTACTGGAAAGGTAAAGGAAACTTTGAAGAAAAACAAACATCTATTATATTTAGGGCAGTAAATAACGTGCAGTGGTAAGATTTGGCCTTCAACCCAGAATGTCCTGGCTACACAGTATTCCCGGGAAGACTTTTCCAGGCAGGTTCCAGAGGAAGGAACGCATTCAATGCCAAGGGTAGAAGCCTGACTGTCACAGAGCAGAAAGCATCCCATGAAGAGGGAGATGATCAGAAAAACTTCTCAGAAGAAAGCAAGAATGTTTACTTGTTTGTTTCAAAGCTGTTACTTTAGGCTAACAAATAGATTGAACTATTCAGATAGGGGAAATCCTGACAGTAAGTAGGTGTAGAAGTAGTAGTGGGAAAGCAGTGCCTGGAATTACACCCTGTTTATGTAAGCATTTTGGGTCATATTTTTGTACAACGAAAATATTGCAGCAGTCAAGCTTGTAATGAAAAGGTTTTCATCTAATAAAAACTGACCTGAAAGGGAAGCAGCTCAAGTTACCAAGCAACGATTTGCAATGGATCAAGGCAAAACTAGATAGTGCCTATCTCTGGGGAGGAAGCTCTGCTGATCTGGCAACAGATAAATTGATTCTCAGTGCTCTTTTATAATCTTTGACCACTCCCTTTGTCCTGTCAACCATTATTTCAATTAGAGAGTAAGAACTGCTTCTTGCAATAGCTGAGTAAGGTTCTTCAGAACCTTTATAAATTTTAGCCCAAGTGAACTAGAATTTAGTCTATTCTTGAAACATCTAATGGTCTTTTCTGCACATGCACTTTTGAAACTTTTACAGATTTTATTGTCATTGCAGGGAGGAATTTCACCATGACTAATTTCTCTAATTTACTAGTTACAATGATGTAAATTTTGCATAACAAATGAGGCCTATACTGCATGATTTTGTACCTTTGTCATATGTTATACTTAGATACAAGGCTTCCTTTGACATCAAAGGCCTATGGAAGACAGTGCTCTCAAGGTTGGACTCGTGATTTGGACTTTCAGCTTTCCGTACTCTCTATTCTAAAATGATATCAATGATTGTGGTATAAATCCCTGACAATATCAGGGCTGCTTTTAATTGTTACAAGGTCTGGTACAGTGCATATGGAATACTTAAGTAGTAGATGGTCTCCCTTTTTAAGGAATAAATATCTTAGCTTTCAGGAAACATTTTTTTTTTTTTGTAAAAAGACAAAAGCATCAGTACATTTGATTGCCTAAAACTCTACACTTTAAAAAAGAACAATTACTTTAGAAGGTAGTTCGGAAGCTATTAACAGAGCTAGTCCATTATACAAGCCCAAGAATATTACATACAGTAAGACTCAGACACATTAAATTATGTTTAGATAGGATAGATTTTCCTGAGACTAGTCCCGACTGTAGTTTGAGCAACAGAATTAATGCAGATTATGAAGTGCACACTTACAGATATTGACTTGTAAATAATGTCAAAAGTATTTCAAGCACTTCTTTATTTACAAGTCCCTGAGTTTTTTCCACTTCTGCTTTCAGCATTTTGCCCATTTACCTCCAAAGATGTTAGATAGTCTTAATGTTTGACCACAGGAGGGATTAAGTATATGTGCTTAACATAAACTTAATACCTTTTCTTTCTTTAATTTTATCACTGTGAGAGTTGGCAGCTGAGGTTCTTGAATCTGTTGTGAGAATATTAATGTAATTTATTGCTAAGCACATGCCAGAATTACTTGA